CCGCGTCACTGCATTACCGACCAATCAGGCGACCAGTACTTGACGTCACTACCGAATAAGATTCAAAGCAAACAACAATTTTTATGAAAAAATATATTTTATAGTACCTACTTACGAATGAAAAGTGATGCCGTGGGTTTTATTTTTAGTTCTGGAGCAATTTGAGCACTTTTTAACAACAGACTTAGGCATTGTTTTATCATATAAACACAAAATATTAGCAATATTTCTTTTTGGCGTTCAGATGTACGTCGTTTGCATGTCAAGTTGTGACTAAATCGATTAGGGTCGTGGACCACAATTGGTGCGGATCAATTTTGTGAGGCTAGTGCCGTATCTACCCTTTTTGTTTTAATCTAAGATTATAGTGGGATGTTATATCTGTTTAAACAAAACTGATATTGTTTTTACGATAACAATCTCAACAACATATCAAACCAACCCAGACCTGTGGCCATCTCTCACTGACTTGTACCACTTAAAAATGTCCATAAAACATTTAAATTAATGGCAACACAGATAATATATTGTGGTAAATGCATGGTAAATGTGCATTTATAAGTAATTAACAATTAGCTACGGGAATCGCGTGATTGTTTATACAACCAATCATAATCAAGGAAATGCGTTTAAACCAATAGTATTAGCTGTCATCTGTCAGTCAATGACAAATAGCGTCTAAGATTTGTTTTTACGCAGATTCCCTATTTTAATACAGATTTCCAGCAATTTTTAATGATTTTTTTAAGACTTCCATATGTGAGAAAATTCTCTGAGTGATTTTAAGTATAATTTTAGATGTTTTTGAGATAATTTGTACCAAGGTACAAAAAATGGGCAAAAACCGAAAGTCTTCTTTATTCGTGAAGATTAAAAAGACCTTAGCGAAAGACATTGGTTACTTTTCTTCGAATTAAACTTGAAAGTAGTTAGGTAGGAAATGAAAATTGGTATGATAAACTAATTTATTCTTTCCAAAATGGCTCAGATACGAAAGTGATTAAAAAAATTTGTAGCAAAATAAACTTAATTGAATTTTAAAAATATCGGTAGGTATTTTATAAAGTTTTTATTATGGCTTTTCTTTTGCAATTTTTATTTAAGAAAAATATCATACTAATTTGTTACATAATCACAATATTAACAGCCACATTCACATAGTCAATGTTTTTTTTCTATATATGTATACATTTTGATTCTATTCCTTTTAATATGTCAGTTAATACCAGAATAAGTCTTATTCTAATCGTAGAGTAGGTTAATAAGTACCTAACATAAATTTAATATAGTTATGTTTTTTCTTGAGCTATTATTAGATACATGTTTACATATCCCTGCTACTTGTAAACTATCAGAATGTTCCAGAAAAATGTAAAGACAAAAACAGGGCGCCATGTTGTGGGGTCTGATACCGCACCGCGTATCAGCTGTTATCAATGCACTGTGCGGCTTTGATTGACGGCTGTCGATTTGTACAGGTCACACGGTCGACGATCTTAGACGTCGACACTCGATGCCATCGACCAATCGACACACATTTAACACCAACTTTTCCCTTATTTACAGCTATAAAGTCATGCGTGTTGGTTTGATTAATTTGTTTGCGAGTAAACAATGTTCTTTATTGGAATTGGATATACTTTAGAATAAAATTACGCAACCCTTTCAGTATCACCACGCATTTTTCTAAACTACATAAATACATACTTGACTAAACATATTTGAAATAGCATATGTTGAAATGTACTTATAGTAATGTAATGCGGAATAAATAAATGTGTGGATGTGTTAAGAAAAAAGTTTATTTTGTTCTCGATCTCAAACAGCTGTAAACTTTTTTACAACACATTTGTGTATTTTTAATAGTATAGGTAGATGTAAGACTCTGCTACTTAGAATAGATATGCGGTATTTTATCAATTCTAAAGAAATAGTGGCTACCTATTTATGTAGGTATTTCTTTATTTTATACTAATATTGAAACTTGTAGTACATAATAGTATATAATATAGAATATAAACATAAGCCTACATTAGGACAATAAATTAACTCAGAAGTTGTTCTGATAGTGATGTTCAGTAAGCAATATTATAAGGAAATAAATAAATCCTTGGAAACTATACGTGTCGAAAGGCAGCTGAAAAACAAACTTTGATGACAAAATAGAGTCCTATCTTTCTGAACAAAACCAAAAATAATTTAAGTAATACTTATACCTAGTAATTGACTGTTCATTATCCATTGAAGAAATGCAACAAAGGACATTGTTCAGCGTCCATACATAGTTAGCCTAAGAACCAACAATCATGAAATATTATTTTCTAGGTTCAAAATCGTACGAACTTAAATTATTAGGAAAACTAAATTTTTTTGAGGTTATGTTTAATATTCAATGAAACATAGATCAACCTATGAATTTAGTATGAACTCAGTATGAAGTGAATTGATACTACAACTAATTCATTTTATTCGGTGCGATTTTAAAGAATAACTATCTTAGATTAAAACAAAAAGGGTAGATACGGCACAATTTGATATGCAAACGACGTATAAGTGAACGCAAAAAAGAAATATTGATAATATTTTGTGTTTATATGTATGATAAAACAATACCTAAGTATGTTTTTAAAAAGTGCTCAAATTGCTAAGAACTAAAAATAAAACCCACGGCATCACTTTTCATTCGTAAGTACTATAAAATATATTTTTACATAAAAATTGCTGTTTGTTCTGAATCTTATTCGATAGTGACGTCGAGTACTGGTCGCGTGATTGGTCGGTAATGCAGTGACGCGGATCTGGCCGTCTCGTTCGCGCTGCCGTTGAAACTTAACGTGCTCTTTCGCTCGGGTCGGTAATGCAGTGAAGCGGATCTCGCCATCCTGTTCGCGCTGTCGTGGGATCAGTTTTTGTTTGATGCAAGTATGAGCGTACCGTATCTACCCTTTTTGTTTTAATCTAAGATAACTATAAGGAAAACTTGATTAGGTAGGAATCGTGAATAAAATAAAAACTGTAGTTTTGCTTCTTATTTATTGACTATTTTTCACATAATTGTATCATATTGTTTATTGTATTTATTTGTATATCACATGTATATTGTGTAAATATGCAGCGTGAATGTGTATTAGGTGTTCTTGAATAATTTGGCAGTATGATCCTCTCAGGATGTTGTGGCACAGGTTCACTAGCACTTGGTAATAAGGGCTCTGCTCTTTGGTAACATTGATGGCATATAAGATAGCCGAAATAGTTAAATTAAAGGAAAAACAATCGCAAATAAACACACACAACAGGTAATCCGATACGAGAATGCACTTTCCGGTATAATAAACTACTCTTTGGAATGCACGAATGCCACAGATTACTATGAAACTCCATGCACCACAACCACAGAGTAACAAGTTTTATGCCGGCCCTTCACTTGACAAAAGTTTGTCCTTGTCATGCTTAATAAGGAATGAAAAGGACAGACTGATGTCATGTTTTAAAATAGCAAATACGAATAGCCAAGTGAAGTGCCGGCATTAGGAAGAAAGAGTGTTTTGTTTGCAGCGCTGCTATAGATTGTACACATAAAATGGTATTTATTGTCTCAGATAATTTTTTAACTTTTTAATTTAGCTTACTTAACTGGAAGTGTCCGTCACAATCTAAATACTGATAATTATCGCAAAAAATATACTAAGAATTATCATAAATGCCAAATTGGTGTTGGTTCTTAGGCCAATTTTAACATTGTCCTTTAATCAATATCGACATAAACCTGTTCACTTATGTAATCGTCGAGTAGATTAATATAATTTAGTTAAAACTTAATTCAGAAAACATTCCAAAGTATCAATGAGACAGATTTAATTTAGATTCCTTTCATTTAAACAGACAAATGTATTTAAAGAGTACAAGTTTCTTTTATATTAAAATTCTCGATCAGTAAAAAAACGTAACAATATTTTCCGAGACTTTATTGTGACATTTACCTCTCAGACACAGTGTTAGGTATTTTCGATAACAAAAAGCAATAAATTAAGAAAGAATGAGCATTTTTTCAACTGATCAAATACAAACAGTGAAGAAAACCGCACTGACAAAATAATACCTACGCATTCCAAAATAAGTATTTGCGTATATTTGAATAAGTAATATCTTTTTTCAAATACGCCTACTGTTATTCAACAATATTACAATTGTTATATAATAAGTGTATTTGTTATCGTAATGTTGCTGGTGGTGTTGGCTAGAGGGGTATAATAAGTATAACTTTCTGCGACGTCAATAATCTTCGCGAGTAGTCGCCACTTTCGCTTTACTCCAAATAGGGTTGGGGTTGCTTCCTCTCCCATTAAAAATACCGAAAGGACTGTGTCTCAATGCTTATAATGTATTTCAGTATCTACAAAAACATATGTTTAGCTAAGTCTAATCATGAGCTTTACGTTATGATAGGGAATCAATTTATGAATATACCATGATTTCGAAAGAACTAAAAAAGATATTATATGCTACAAACGTCATTAAAGTTTTAACGAACATATTGTTCTAGACATTCGTTTGTGCAGCTGTCCAAAGTGACTACTTACGTCTTAGAAAGCAATAATATTAACACGTACGTGTATATGGCATACTGCAATAATTATTAAAATATTGTACATCTACGTATATACTACTCACGTTAATTGATTAGGAGAAATTGCATTTTTCTAATTAGAAGGTAACCAGTAAAGTATGATTTATTAAATAAACATACAGTTGAATTAAGAACCTCCTCCTTTTTGATTCGAGGGGTGGAATACCAATCTTTCTCACTAATCAACGACTCCCCTCACCTTAAAAAAAGAATGGATGTTGCAATGCCCCTTCAAGGGCGGGACATACAGAACTCTACTTTCATTTCCATCAGTAAACAAAGTATGTTCCTAGCAAATAAACAATTATTATTATTAATAGGAATTATTATTTATGCAAAGGAGTACTCACAAAGTCCATTGTTTCTTCTACAGAATCCACAATGGTGGTTCGAGTAGCGACAGACGAGCGGCCGTTCGAGACGCCCTCCTCGGACGAGAGCGGGATGGGGCGCAGCGACTCGCCGAGCGACGCGGAACCAGAGGCAGCCTTGGTAAGTACGAGAGTGGGATGGGGCGCAGCGACTCACCGAGAGACGCGGAACCAGAGGCAGCCTTGGTAAGTACGAGATTGGGATGGGGCGCAGCGACTCACCGAGAGACACGGAGCCAGAGGAAGCCTTGGTGAGTACGAGAGTGGGATGGGTCGCAGCGACTTACCGAGCGACGCGGAATCAGAGGCAGCCTTGGTAAGTACCTAGACCTGCGGCCGTTCGAGACGCCTTCCCCGGACGAGAGTGGGATGGGGAGCAGCGACTCACCGAGCGATGCGGAGCCAGAAGCAGCTTGGTTAGTACCTATCCTTGCGCAGCGACTCACTGAGAGACGTGGAGCAGAGGCAGCCTTGGTAAGTACCTAGACGAGCGGCCGTTCGAAACGCCTTCTCCGGACCAGAGAGGGATTGGGCGCAGCGACTTATCGAGAGACGTGGAGCCAGAGGCAGCCTTGGTAAGTACCTAGACGTGTGGCCGTTCGAGACTCCCTCCTCGGACCAGAGTGGGATGGGGCGCAGCGACTCACCGAGCGACGCGGAGCCAGAAACAGCTTGGTAAGTACCTATCCTTTTACCATTTTTTTTGTTTTTCGCCACACGGGGAGTGAGTAAAATCTTAATGGATACCTTACAGCCGGCTGTAGAGTCATATTAGGCATCTCTCACTGGCTAAAACACACCCATGTCGGACGCTTCTGTTCATTATGGGCCTCTCAGACTTCATCTGATGCGATCATCCCCTTAGGAGGGGTTGATGGAGCACTAGGGCATAGTCCGCTATATAGACGAAAGATACTCTCTGGTGTGAATATTGAGACGAGCGGCAGCTGGCCTCTCAGGAATGGTAAGGTCAGACCAATTTTCCATGACACTTATACTCGAGGGGTATGGAAAGTAGTGAACTCTCTAATCTGTGGTAATGCAAAATTGAGTCAGAAACCATAGACATACCTAGAGAGTGGTCTGAACATGGACGAAGGATTTCGCTCCTATAGCAGTCCAGTAGGATTGGCATATTAAAATGCTTAAATGCTATTTACAAAAGTAAATTAACTAACAATATTAGGCATACCCGATGAACCATTACTGTTGTTAATTTTATCAAATTTCATAAAATGGCGTTATTCAGATGACCTTCAAAGTACAGTAAAATAAATGAACGTTAAATCTATATGAGTACAAAGAGAACAGTCAAGACAACCCAATTATAGAAAACAATCATTCGATGAGAAGCGCATTGATTGAAATTGAAGTCATACAAAATTGTCGCGTCGGTCACAGAATCAGTGGATGGATAGATAACCCTGAACTTGAGGTCATTTTTTTCGCATCATAATGACTTGTAGCACGACACTTACAATCAGAACCGTTTTTCTCAATTCGACGAAATTATTATGTTAATAACTCTTTATCTGTAAAACAAAACATTTTGGTTAGGTACTTAATGTAAGTAGTGGAAATTTTACTGGTTTCTTTGTTTTCTTCTTTTACTTTATGTTGAATAAGGTTCATCATTAAAGATTTACCGATTCTTATTGCTTTAAGTATATAAGACATGGTTTTTCATGTCCAGTGAAGTATATAAACATATCAAGTCTAAGTAACATGCATCGTTGACGCAATCTGCGAGTTTTATCAGTTGAAAATTAAATTATCATTATGAAATTTTTAATGTATTGAAAGATTTCTTGCTTTAGTCATTAATAAATCAAATTGGTGATTCTTTACAAAATTATTTAAGTTTTAATAATATTGGACATAAGTCAAATGTCCATGCACACTTTACATTATCGTTGTGTGCCTATACAAAAAATAGGCTTATATGTAAAGGAAATGGATGGAATGTTTTCAGAAATTCACAATAATCGGATAGTTGATAACCCTCTAGGTTCTAGAATATGTTTTTCCTTTTTTGTGGAAATGTTCATGTCCTTGGAACCTCAAAATCTTCTTGAATTCATCTTCTGTACTGGAAGCAGCAGAAATAGAAATACACATCAAAATTGAAGGTGTCTACTCAAAAGTCACTAGGTACAGAACCAAATTACCACCTAAAATTTGAATAACAAAATATTGTACCGTATTTATAGAGCAACTTCTCTCTATACTTTATACCAACGGATATCATGTACACAGAATTAACCTGATGCTGGCTACCTTTTTGAAGATTCCTGTCCCGGAAGCGAGATAAAACTTCCACTTCCATCAACGAAAAGTCACACTGGCCACATTGGAAGAAAACGCGACGTGTCGCGTCGCGATAATATAGGCGTACAAGTAGTTTTTTTACTAAATATCAATAGTTTTTTTTTATTGGCTCTTTGAGTATTCCACAAAACTAGATCATAATTTGCTATGAATTCTCATATTTTATTACTACATCAAACCAACTATTTTTACGATACGATATTATTACTAGCAAACCATTAGAAGTCTCGTTGTCAACAAAGCGCACGAAGTGTAGCCAACCTCACGATTTTTACACGATAAACCGTTTGATGCGCTACAATTTACCGACAGCGACGCGGAGACTAACTTTGTGGGGATAAACATTCGCGCTAGGACGATTGTCTTGGCCAGACATATCGGGCCAATCGGGCCAACGCTAATATTCGCCTTATCGCGATAGTGTGGCCCCAGCATAAGAGTATCTATGTATTGCGAAAAGATCCCCGCCTCCGGTCATTATAAACGTCTTACAGTTCTTTGATATGTCACTTAGTAATCGTCGCCGACAACTTTCCTTTTTGTATGTAATGACTTAATTACCGTTAGTTTGTATGTAATGACTTAATTACCGTTAGTTTGCATTGCAGGTATTTTATACTCCGTATTGCCAATAAAAAGGACATGTGCTGTTCACATGCGATAGAAGTGAAACATACAAAAATGTGAACACGTAAAAGTCATTCATGACTAGGTACGTCTTAAAGACCTGTGTTAAAATTCAACTCTCTAGGTCAAATAAAATATTTTAAGATAAATAAAAGAAAAAAAAAACAATTAAAAAAATTAACGAGCACTTCCCTTTCATCGAATCTCAAATCACAACGGTACTAAAGAAGTTTTCACTTCAAAAACAACTATTTACTAATAAATCCGTTTTGGGAATCCGTTCCATAGGACACTGGCAAAATAATATAGTGTCAAAAAAAAACATTAAATCTTATTTCCGGTTACTGTAATCGCAGTGACATGTCATTGACAATTTGACAGCAATCAAAAATTCAACATGACTAACAAGTTTTAACAGTAAATCTAAATAAATGGGGCTAAGCGCGATGCCCCCATTTATTTGCTATGTCATATTTGTCTTATTTTAATACATTTATAGTTTTTGTAGTCGGAATCCATCTCTGCTTGGTTTTATTGAGCTTTCAGAAACTTGAATTGCCGTCAGTTTCCGTCCAAACAGACGATATTGAGACAAAATCGGAGTGTGTTTCTACTTGCAGCTGCGATGCTCCCAAATTGAAGAGTAAATAAGTTAATTAACATGAATTAGAAAATTAATCTTAAAGGCACGGCTCGGAAAATTCGAAAGCAAACATGACATTGGAAAAGAAGTTGAGAAGACGCAGAACCCTTCGAAGACTGGCTGAGAATGTAATTAGTGTTTGTTTATTAACAACCATTACTCTGGCTTTCGCTGAAATAACATTAACCATGATGATATTACTACTTTAGAGTAACGTGGTAGGTATAACACAAACGTTTAGAAATGTTCTACTGCTTCATGGTACGATTTAAAGAAACTTTGTGTTGATTCAGAAGAACAGAGTATGGCTTTCAAAAGGGCTTGGCAGAGAAGGCAGCAAATAATGAAGAGAGTAGCAGAGTTCACATTGAACCTTATCGCCTGGGCCGTGCCTTTAGTCGGAATATACATACTTTTCATTTATTGAAAACTGTTAAAACCATAAATTTATACAGCAATAAACTTCAGAGATTAAAGTGACTTTTACTAAACTCAAAGCTTGATTAACAGAAACTTTAATTTTCCGATTCCGTACCAAAACGGTAATATGAGCCACGTTCTTTTATCAGGTGCGGTGGGCCGTATGTTCATGTACTGTAGCAGATTACCAGGCGAAATTTTCACAAGTTATGTATAAAGTTAAAAATAAACGCGACCTCCATACTTAAATCTCACTTCCTGTTTGCAAATGTTATTAACTTGATACGAGATGGTTGGGAACCCTTCATATGCGAGTACGACTCGCATTTGGCCGGTGTTTTTTTAATAATTAGTGCTAGCAGGTACTAGCAAATCTTAGAACCCTAAATAGCACAGGTTCTGTGCCAAATAGTGTTTGATTTTTCTGACTACAGCGCCACCTGTTATTCGAATGCACACAAAAAACTTATCACAATTGTTTCAGCTTCAGGTTAATTCACACAAGAACAGTAAAGAAAAAATATTTAAAGAAAAGAAAGTTATTGAAGTTTTCAAGGGCCGTTAAAAGACAGTTGTCCGCCGTGATATGGCTTTCATTGGAAGTGTGACCTCGAAATGCCAGCTCGACCTTCTGGCATCCAAATAACCTTGTCCGCCAAATCCACCTTTGGTTGGACATTAAGATAATTGACACTTCGGGTTTTTCGAGAAGCTCCATTCAATACCGGTTTCCCACAAGTAATGGGTTTGATGTGTTTGGGTTTCGGACTAATTCGTGGAAAGTATGGTGTTCTATCATTTTTTAATTAATAAAGACTAAGCAATAATAGAGCAGCAAAAATGCTTAAAAAATAAAAGGTTTCGTAGCAAACTTTAATAAAACTTCTAATCACATAGTCGTGTAAATGTACTAAAAGTACTGAGTTATTGTTATTTTCATAACAGTTATTAACGAACTGGAACTAATTTGGTCGTTGCTCCAAAAATCATTATGATAGGTACATCATTATTTTTTCGCCTATTTTGTGTCCGCTAATAGCTTACTGTTTTCAAAGAGTAGTTAAGACACCTTCAATAATGGTACATTTTATAAAATAAAAATAAATAATCATAGTGCTTGGTGCAAAATCTTGAAATAAGATAACATTTAACAAGGGTCAATCAAATCAAATCAAATCGGTTAAGAAGCGCGAAGAGGTAGTAAACAGACAGACATACCTTCGCATTTTTAATTAAGTATGTAATGACTAATCCTAGGGATTTTTTTGAAAATTTAAATGGTAGGAACATCAATCTTTTGGGATTTCTATCTAAATTTATTGCTATTACTGCTGCCCAAAGTTCATTAGACTGAAGCGAAGCACCAAGTATAAAAACACAACTTTGTAGAAGAATCACGTGTTGTAAGATAACGAGATTCAATGGTTTGTTAACGTGATGTATAGCTTTAGGAATGTATACCACGTGTAACCATTTACCATAGCCAGCCATAGCCTTGACCTCTACAGATTCTTTAGTTTATGGTGACACGTCAGCACTGTCAACAGTACTTGTTACTTCAAGTGTATGTCATTTTTATTTACAAATATTTTTTTACTAAATTTGTGTGTTTAAAAACAACAGTTTTTTATTGTATGAAATTTCACGAAATGAGCTCTCCATACACACGTGTCGAAGTTAAGAGTTTCGTTGGAAAAGGAGATAGGACCTCGTCCAGAGTAGAATGCGTAAAGTATTTTCTAAGATTCGTTCATAAGTTTAGTACACAGAACGTTTTCCAGAAAAACCTTTTCTGTAGTTAATTATGTTGTATTTTATGCAAAAAAAACTATTTGATTTATAGATCCATAAAAGTTTGTCCACGGTAAATAATACCGTGGTTTGGCCGAGTGGATGTTTTTCTAGAAAAAAATACTTTTATTTTAATAAATTTAAATCTCGGTTTACAGTAGATATTTCCATAAAGTTTCCAATGCTTTTCATTGGATTTTTTTAAGGAAAGTTTAATATTCACTTTTATGTTTAGAATAAACTTGGATAAGGTAAATAAAAAAATTGGGATAAAATTATCTACATTCCTGCAATTAAAATATCCCACACTTTAACGTCTTAAGTCTAAAGGTAAGGTATGTATAATATTGAATTCATCGCGTCGATTGACGATTCTAATATTTGCACAGATGCATAACTTTTTGTTTGCTGATACGCAGTTACCAGAATCATTTTTTATAGTTATAATTTTTATTTTTTAAGCATGTAACTGCTTGATGTTTGAAGTAAGCGTCTCGTATGGATGACCATAGAATCATTTATTTAAATATAACTAGAAATAATTCCACGCGGACCAGGCAGCAGACGGGACTCGAAGCCACACCCTTCGCTATCCGGGCGAATGCACTGACCAATTATGCTACCGCGGCCCTGTAGGCCGCGTCGAAATTCCTCTAACGAAGGGTGCGGGTTCGAGTCCTGTCTGTTGCCTGGTCCGCGTGGAATTTTTCCTAGTTATATTTTCTTCATTTTTTATGTTAAAAAGGTGGCAAAGAAGCATATGGCCCTCCTGATGGTAAGGAGCCACCATAACCTATAAGCTATATAGACGCTTGCGATACGAAAAATATTACTCGCACCGGTGCCTACCCTTACCCAATCCCCTACCACTTGGAACCTTGAAACCTTATCACCAATCACCGAAAGAAACACAACACCACCAAAAGGTAGTGTTAGCTTCTGCCCCAGACGGGTGCTCCAACTCGAGCGGATAATCCGCTTTGCCCTACTTCTCTTGTTTGTTTTTCTTCAACAAAGGAGTAAATGTTTTATATATATATTTCTGTGTTACAGGTCGTACCACCTGATGGAGGGTGGGGCTGGGTGGTTGTATTCGCATCGTTCATGTGCAACTTCTTCGTGGACGGCATCATATTCTCTGGCGGGATGCTTAAAGATGCAATCAAAAAAGATTTTACGGTATGTCACTCTAAATTTATTAATGTTGTTTTGTTAAATTTAAACATCGGTTCTTCATTGATCCATTGAAATGATTTCACAAGTTATTCGTGCGTACGAAGCAGTGGTAATTTTGAAAAATTTGAAGTGTCATTATGAAACCCTTGCTTCTCTAGCGTAAGTATGTAGTTAGTTTTATAATAATTTAATAAGTTTTATTACACGGACGGATACATGTATACAATATTTCTTTTATGTAAGGAATTAAGTTTTAAATGTATCTTGTAAAGTTTTATTTCCTGAGTGTCATTTCCACTTTTTCTTAATTGAAAATAACAGGATCAATATCGTACCTACTTTAAAGATTAAAATGTAAAGATAATAATAATTTATTGTTGTTTACTTGATGTTTATAACGTTCTTTCCCTATGTGTAATATATATATACTAGCTGACCCAACGAACTTCGTACCGCCCTAAAATTAGGGGCTGGTGGTAGAAGGGTGAATATTTAGGGTTGTATGTATTTTCTAATACAACATTATAAAAAAAATAAAAAAAAATGTTCAGAAAATAAAAAAATTGTAGGGATGGACAACCCTTATCACTTAGGGGTATGAAAAATACATACTAGCTGACCCAGCGAACTTCGTACCGCCCTAAAATTAGGGGCTGGTGGTAGAAGGGTGAATATTAAGGGTTGTATGTATTTTCTAATACAACATTATAAAAAAAAATGTTCAGAAAATAAAAAAATTGTAGGGATGGACAACCCTTATCACTTAGGGGTATGAAAAATACATAGTAGCCGATTCTCAGACCTACTAAATATGCATATAAAATTTCATAAAAATCGATCAAACCGTTTCGGAGGAGTATGGTAACTAACATTGTGACACGAGAATTTTATATATAAGATATTCTTACAAATTCCCGCTTTGGTTCCAAACCATATTTCTTTAGTACTTTTGAGTAGTCCTTGATTACCCCACGTATCAAAAGATAACTAGAACAACATACGATAAAAGCTTACATATTCATTCGTTCGTATTATTAAATCTGTCTGTCGCTTGCGCAGTTATTTTTAGAGTTTACCACACCCTCGGCGCCGTCCAGTGCGTAAACTGCGCGTGCGTCACAGTCGAGCCTCTTTCCATACTCGTACGATACAATAAATATTACTGTGTCTTTATAATGATAACTAGCGATCCGCCTCGCAAAGCTTAACTTTATATATTAACACGATAACATAAAGCCTTCCTATCATGCTCAAACATAGGTAATGCAACATCCTAATGGTGAAAGAATTTTTAAAATTGGTCGAGTAGTTATGAGTTCGTTACAATTTAAAAAAAATACAAATCTCTATTTTTATAATGGTATTGATGCTTCAACTTATCAACAATTCTATAGATAAGGTTCAGCGCATTAAATCCGTCTCTGTAAATATAGCCTCACTTGAGGCGTGAGATCTTATTTTAAATTAGATTGGTGAATACATAACGAAATAACACGCTGATCAATGACTGGTAAAAATATTATATTTTGTGGGTCATAAGATTGATTTCACATTTTCCCTTTTTCACCTTTATCGTTTTTTACCAAGTATCAGATATAATTTATGAAAGGAACAAGAGTTCGTTTTATAAAATAAAAGGTCGTATGTGCGAAATAACATTTTGTTATTTGTAACCTTATTCCTTTACGAGATAGTTGTTATTAGATCTTACTTAAACTGTTTTAAAACATCTTTGTTCATTGGGAATCGAATGTAGCTGCATAAGTTTATACATACGCGGACAGTTTTTAGCTTTGATTTTGTATGCATATATCTATAGAATTGTTGATCGAAGTATAGATGAGAGTAAATGATGAACGCATGTCAAACTTTTTTTTTGTTTTAAGTTTACAGTTCAACTCTCAGTATTTTATTCTTTAAAATAATTATAAATCGGGTAATATTTAGCAACCCGACATGCTGTTTTGATGTGTACTAAAAATATTTTACTTGCGGTCACTATCGGCTCGTATTGTGTTTTTAGTGTTGCTATAGGCAGGAAAATCTATTTAATCAATTCGCGTCATATCCGTCACACTCCCACGAGGTTTGTGTTCATGATTAAGTATTTTTGTAAAAACTGTTTTCATTGTGAAATACTCATATTCTATTATTATTATGCCAGTCAATTTCATACTATTCTATCATGTAAAAAATAGGAAAACCTTTTAAATTTTGCCATTTATTTTCAATTCCTTCAATTAACTTTAGTTTAATAGTGTCACTTCCAATTACAGTCAAACGAATTTGAATAATTATTGTATTTTCGTGACTCGATAAGTAACGATCCATTGTTTATTTATAACAGACCCATGTTGGGACTGCTGTAGGCATACATATCTTACGATTTGTTATTGTGACTGGTTTGTCTAAATTTTAAGCGTTTTAACATATGGTTTTAACGTTTTTTTTTAACTTTGCAAATGTGTTTTAATTACATTTTCAACGCAGTAACTATTGCGCCGTGTGGGGAACGAACACGGAGGAAAAACAAAGAGGAGGTGTGGTAATTAAATTTCCTCAAGAAACGACGCGTGATAATTTGCGGGATGCGGGGTGTTCAGCTCCGCCCACTTCTCAATATTTCATCTATCGGCTAATAGCAAAACTACTAGCTTAGGTTGATATTTATGTTACTACGTAGTAGTTCAGCTATCTAACACTAGATGTCAAAAGTTTTGTAAATGGGACGTACTCAGAACTTGAAGCTTCAAAAAAATGAAATATGTTGGTAAATAATTTGACCGATTTTAAAAATTTTAAGGTATAATTTTTATAATTTTAAAACATGTAACTGCTTGATGAAAAAAAATCCAGGCAGACCAGGCAGCAGACGGGACTCGAACCCGCACCCGCCTGCTGCCTGGTCCGCGTGGAATTTTTTGTAGTTATATTTTCTTTAGATTTAAATTTTAAGGTAGTTTAAAAATAATAGACAAAATGTTATTAAAAACAATTTTATTAAAAAACATCAATTACATGTAAAAATAATAGTTTTGGTTAATTGTTTTTCATACCTTTAGAAGATATTTCCATATTTAAATGAATGTTCTGTGCAAAAAATTAATATTACATCAGAACTTATCGCATTTTAAATAAAATGAGTTTCGAGTCTTCGGATAGCACGGATGTCGAGCCTATGCCTGACGATATGTTATTGGAATTTGATGAACAATTAAATACAACTGTAGGTGACTCAAAGAATTATATGCTGATAACTACGACGATAGTGACCTTGATTTGATAAAAACTAAAAATAAGGGTGGTCTTACTTTCCCATCTAGAGATGTCATAAAAATATGTATACGGACCGAATGCAGTATTCGTTGTGTTAAATAGCAATCTTTGAATACTCCTAACTTTCGTAAACATAAAATTGTATCGAATACATTAAAATCACTTATTGGACAAGATTGTTTCAAAAAATCGGCCAACCATATGTTTGACCAATCACCTACAGTTAATCATGTTATACTTCTGATGAAATCGATCGCAGAAAAATATATTGATATTCGTTTTAAGCATTTTGCCACAATACAAAACGATAGGGTAACCAAACGACAACAATTAACCAAAACTATTATTTTTACAGGTAATGATGTTTTTTAATAATATTTTTTAAACACTAAAAACGCTGTTCGCCACATCCGCCATGATTTTGACGTCTCTTGTGGTAAACAACTAAATGTCATTCGCGTGTTACTGTAGGTGGATTCTTTCGTCTGACTAAATTTATCTTAAAACACTTTTAACTTTGGGAAAGAAAAAAAACAGTAAACTTAGTTTTTTTTGACAAAACTAATTATGGTTGCCGGCTTTGTGAAAGCAAAAGTAATACCACCCTTATTTTTAGTTTTTATCAAATTAAGGTCACTGTCGTCGTAGTTATCAGCATATAATTCTTTGAGACAGCTCTCACATTTGATCTTGGAATGTAAATATTTGACCACATATCCAGAAATATATGCTACTATTTGACGGCGCAAATAGTCACCTATAGTTGTATTTAATTGTTCATCAAATTCCAATAACATATCGTCAGGCATAGGCTCGACATCCGTGCTATCCGAAGACTCGAAACTCATTTTATTTAAAATGCGATAACGTTCTGATGTAATATTAATTTTTTGCACAGAAGATTCATTTAAAATGGAAATATCTTCTAAAGGTATGCAATTTCCTCTAAAACCTTCTTTCAGTTCTATATTTATCAGGATTTTTTTGTAAGCAGCTTTAAATTGACGGGAGGTTGGGTTATTATTAGTTCTTCCATGTGCCCTTATTACTCCAAAAAATAGCTCCAAATGATCTTGTGAAAATTTGTACAGAGTAAGATACTTTAGTGCCTTTTCCTCTTCAATTAGGCGATTGTACAAAAAAAGTGTACTGTTTATGCATGTTAAAAGGCCTATAAAGCCAGTTTTTCGATTTGTAGCGATAACAGGTTTATCTTCATCGGGAGCTACTAAATAGGTCAAGAAATACTTAGCAAATTCTAAATACTCTTTTGTTTTAGAAATATTTTTTTCAAATAACGGTTTTTTGTACTCCATCTGACACATGTTTCGCGAATTAAGAATGTCAAAAACATTGTTAATTAAGCGTATAAAATTTATTGTTGCGGCTGCATTTTTGAATGTTTCATCACTTTTCTCACAAAGTTGGAGTGCGTCGGCTACGCTATTGCTGAAAAGTTGACTGGCTAATTTGACTTTGACATTTTTTGGCGCTGAAAGTCTATATGTTTGTCTTTTAGCTTGTTTCCAAGATGCAGACCTTGCGACTTTTGCAGGTTATTAAGCTTGATGAGATAGGACCATTCAATGTTATTACCCAGGTAATCAAGAAATCTCTTTTTGTTCTCAAAGGCGTTGCGCACAAGTTTCAGCATATGGCACGCGTCGAGGAAGACTGCTATTTCGTATCCTGCACTTGGATGTGGAAAAGTAGTTTTCATTGCTTGA